ACAACACACCAATATTGAAACCCATCTAAAATATCGTGCGGTATCAACGCAAAAAATTCTTCATTCATGTATGGTCTCCAATTAAACTATAAAATTACAAAAACAATAAAATTGATTTAAATCAAATAATATAGTTAATTTAAATAATAATTAAAAATAACATATTATACATACCTCCTTTTTGGCCTTAATGTCGATCTTCAGCCTAAACTCTTTAATGTTGTTGTGCACCAACCCCGTGCCTTCAATTTTATGCCTCCATCTGTATATCAATCAAAACAAAAATATGACCATTTTGTTCAATAATTTTAATCAAAATAAATATTTTCTAATTAATATTTTATATTAAAATAGAGGATTCATATTACCTTCCGGCAAGTGGAAAGTCAACTGCAGTCCGACTAATCGATGTCAAAAACGGAAGTCTATGCCAAGCCCATGATTGTAGCAGCAACAGACATCCACCGATTTCTGCTGTATTATTATCATTCACGACTAATGACGCCTTGCACATCTCACGATACAAGAACGCCAATATCATCGATCCCCATCTATATTACCTACTATTCTCAAAATTTCTTAAAAAAAGAAGATACTGAGTGTGAACATAACTACCGGATTTATCAGGCATCAAAATTCTCCCAATCAACTGTAATATATATGCTCGTGTTGCATATATAATTTCGTGCTCCGTACTATTTGGTTGAAGCTGAAATTCATTCTTCAACCATGACAACCTCACACGCCACCCTCTACACTCTGGTGGTACGAGCGCTTTCCCAATAAACAAGCTGCAAAGTTGTGCCACATTATTAAACTCATATAACATTACCACCGGCATCCCATTAGTTTGGACCCCGAGTTGCATTGGCAATCCTCCAGAGTTATCGTACATTCGCCACACGGTAAATGAAACGTGTGCGTTTCTGGTCTCCAACGTTCAATCAACGCACTGATCAAACCTGGGACCAACTTGTAATCTCGCACAAATGTTACATACCAAAATCCAGCCTCTTGCAAGTTTTCTTCAATCAATGGGTGTGGATTGGGCACTTTATGTAGCCGAAGACGAAGGACTCGCTGCTCGTCCTCCTGCAATTAGATAATGCAAAAAATTTATCACAATCATCATAAAATAATATTCAAATATTTATTAATTATAATTTATTAAACAAATATTTTATTCACCATTATTCCCAAGTGACTTGAAATATGTTCATTGTCAAGTCTCAGCAGTGGAATTTGGTCAGCCATTAGAATGAATCTATAAAAAAAATTAAACAACAATATTTAAAAAATCATTTAATATAATCTAATATAAACTAACTAACTAACTTACTAATTTACAACACAACAAAATATTTAATATAATAACTTATAATATAATAAACTTATAAAGTAAACTTTTTAAAATATAAGTTAAACGTAAATGCTAAACCCTTAAACAACTAATAAAATATTCTTTTATATAACTAAAACTATTAAATTATTTTTTTCATTATAATATACTACTAATATTACTAACTAATTTTTTTATATAATATAAATTCAACATACAAATATAACTTAACCATTTAACTAACACAAACTAATTAAATAATTTTTTATATAACTAACGACTAACAAAACAAACTAATTAATTATTTTTAACTATATAACTATCAAACATACTAATTAAATAATTTTTTATTTCTGTATAATATATTTAACTTAAACTAACAATCATATAACCCTAAACTAACAAACTAATTAACTTATTTTTATTTTACCCTAAACTAACAAACTAAAAATTTATTATAATAAACTAATTTAAATAATAAAAGTTTACCTCACAAGAGCCTTATCTCCCTTTCTTCTTCTTCCTTTCCTTTCTCCATTTCTTTCTTTCTTTCTCGGCTGCACTATCTTCTCCCTTTCTTCGGCTGCAATCTCTTCTCCCTTTCTTTCTTTTATGTTCTCACGTTAACCACCTCCCATATATAACACAAGCTACCTCAATTATTTCAACAATAATTGTACAATTCACGGGCTGAAATGGTTCACATGCATGCATCAATAATTGCTGCATGAAGCAGCTGATTTCACGTTGTAATTGCAGCCCATATAGCTACAACGACATGCAGCGGGGAGCAGGAGGGGACGTCATACAACGAGGAGCAAGAGGGGACGGCATGCAGCGGGGAGCAAGAGGGGACGTGCATAAATATGCCATGCAAGAAAGACAAGGTCGCTGGGAGTGCATGGCGACCTCTTAAATCACCCAGAAAGCATGGCGACTTATGGGTTGGCTTCTGCATGTGCCATGCAATGTTTATTCTCTCTGTGAGTTCGTCGGAAGCTGCCACGTCGTAGGTCGCCCGGAAGGCATGGCGACCTACGACCAACACTGTGCATTTTGCCCTATTTCAACAATTAATCTTGGGGAGTACATTATCTCGTGAAATAAAAAGTTCGAGAACATTATCTCGTGGAATCAGCCTTGAAATATTAGATGGAAATAATGACATAGATTTGTGTAATACCAGTTTTAGTCTTTAAAATTTATATAGTTTAATTAGGTCTTAATTTAAAAGAGTTCAATAAATACATGAACCAAACCAATTCGATGGTAAATGAATTATTGTTATACATTGATATCCAGAATTTAAGCACCAAGAATGACAAGTGACTGAGCGTTCAAATGTCAAATGATTAAGAGTTATGTTTGAATATATACTGCCTTGTACTTACCACATATTAATAAAATTGAAAGTTTATATACTAAAATGAACCAAAACTGATAGTTTATGTATTAAATACGTAATTTATCCTAAAAAGGAATTCAATAAATTCAATCATCAATATATAATTTTTTTTCATTATTTTAATATTTTTGACAAATTATTATTTCAATATTTATTCTTCTCTCATAAATGTTATATTAATTTCATGTATAATAATAATATAACAGTAATTTTTTAATGCTTTATGGCATAATGCAGTTATTCAATTATTATTTTAATTCGATAGTATCGTTTGATTTAATTATATTAAAAGATAATTATATTTTTAAATATAAAGAGTTAATTTATAGAATTATTTTAAATTCTAATAAATTAATGAAAATTTTGATGACTAAAAATATTATTATACTATGAAACATTAAATTTATATTTTAATTTTAATGATAAGATGTAATATTTGTAATAATATTTACATTAATAATACGATCTTATTGATTAAAGGAATGCTTGTTATTCTTAGAGGTCTCAGATTCGAGTACAATGTTTACGATATGTAAACTATTTGAGCATTTATTGTCAAATGATTGAGAATCTTTCAAAAGACATTATTTTGTAATTATCTCTACTAATCAAAAATAAAAATAAAAAATATTTATAATAATAATTTATTTACTGTTAAACTCGTGATTAAGTGACGCTTGGTGTATATCACCCCAAAAGAAAATTACTAATTACTTAGGGGTGTTTGGTTTCTTGAAAAAGATCATTATCAAGAGAAATGATCTTCTCCGGAATTGTATTCTCATATTTGGTTCACAGAAAAGATCATTAATATGTAATAATTTATTACCAATGGTAGCATTTTTAGGTTAAAATGGTGTAAATGAATAATTTTCACCACTTCAGATACAAATACCCCTAAAATAATAATTTTTTATATAGATCCTTCTAAATTCTTATTTGTTGTGTTTTAATCAAAATTATAAACTTAATAATAATAATAATAATAATAATAATAATAATAATAATAATAATGTATAAAGAGTTTAATTTAGTAAAATATTGATAAATTTGAGTAGTTAAAATTATTTTATATTTTTAATATTTAGCATATTAATTATTTTATAATTTTATGTCGTGAAAATATTATTATTGTAAAAAATGTAATTATTTAAAATAATATTTAATTTTTAATTATTAAAAATAGATCTTATATATTAAAAATAATATATTTATCCACTTGAGATTACAATATTATTTTTATATTTTATAATATTTGATATAGATTAATAAGATACTCTTTGAAAATTATTTAAAATTATAAGTTTGATATACTAATTATATTAATTATATGTTAAATGTATGTTTTTCTTTTTCTTTTTAGTAATCTGATGTATGTTTTTTGTTTTTTTTATTAATATGATGTATGTTTTTCTATAAACATAGATAATGTAATAATTAAAATGTTTTATAAGTTTTCATTCAAATATTTATGATTTAATATTAAAGTTTTACTTGTTAAAATATATATATTATAAGAATAATTTTGATAAAATATGTATCCAAGTAATTTTATATTCATTTGATCAAACACTGTAATCTTATATTCATTTGATCAAACACTGTAATCTTATATTCTTACTAAGCAAACCAAATATGATAATATAATATTTTCGAAGTAATATTACATCTTAATAATCTTATTTCAAAAAAATAATATTACAGTATGTAAATCAAACGCACACTCAATGCTATACCTACAGAGCAGTACGGAAAAAAGAAGAAGACAACTATGTGAACCTAAAACAGTGTGGCCGTATGTTTCAATCAACTTCTGGTATTTGTTTTTTATATTTTAAAAAACAGATAATAAATTTGCAACTCTATTATAAAAGAAAATGGCATTTGATGAGTAGTCTTTTTCTAGATGGACTTCATCATTATTCATTTCTCAAATATAAAGTTTGATTTCACATTTTCTTTACTCACAATCACAAAGGGTAACGTCACCCAAAGTGAGAGATACACCAAGTCCTCTAAGAAAACAAGTGTATCCCATTATTTTGAAAAAAATATATAAAAATTAGTTTGTGTTAGACAAAAAGAAGTATCAAAAAATTTTAAATTTTTTAATTTCTGAATCTGCATATTGGTCCCTTCCAACAACTTGGTCTCACTATTGTTCCTTCATTGGAAGGCACTAGCAAATAGCAATAAGAAGGCTGCATGACTCTAATAAGCCATGTAAATCAGGATCATATATAGAAGTAGAATAAGAAGGGAAAACAATAACTTCCTAAAAGTAACTTAACGTATACAATCAAGTGTTCCACTATAATTTATTACATGCATGATAAACACAAATACATCATCTCCTTCCTATTCCCCTTCCTTCCATCTCTTAGCTCACATCACAACAGTATCTATACCGCTTGTGCTTCAGAAAATGTCAACCAAAATACCGGTATATCCTTGGAAACCGATAGAACCATCGGTTTTATCGGATATCAACGACTTCAACTTCTCCGAGAAAGTAGAGGAGAGGGAAGAAGGACAATTTCAACAACGATGTGGGTTCCCACAACAATATATGCTTATTACCACTATTCATATAAGTGTGTCAATTTAATTTCTAAAAGCGAAAAATGTTTATGGAAAAAACTTGTACCATATCTTCTAAATACGGTGTCTCTCCTTTGTAGACTATCTTCACCGGAAGCACAAGAATAACCAGATAAATCTATTGTAACAAACACAATGAGATCATCCTCATTATTTTTTAAGAGAGAAGGATTTATATAATCTTGGATACAACCTGAAACTCGACACTCTTGAATCACCGGTATTAGCAAGTCCCCTGCTCCACATGATACACTGGCATAGAAACAATAGTTGAATATTTGCAATTTCTTCCAGTGCCCCTTGGTGACCTAAACATGTATTTGCCTGCCAATTGAAAACACGGGACCAACCGGAGATGATCATTTGCAAAGCATTATACAAGAAAGTAATTGTTAGAATTAATTGTAGATGCACCCCAAACTTCAAGGAAAAGCGAGCAAACTAAGACTGCAAAGTTGAACCAAACATGGTGCATATTTTAAGGATGAAGAGAGATGTAACAGTTATATTACCAAAGTAAAAGCCAGGTATATAAACTACTCATCAAGCGATAATCCACTGGACCTATAAAAAGAAACTAAGCCAAAACAAGAAAATCAAGAGAAAGTTGTTTTGCCAATTAAATGAATGATCAAATTCATTGCACCATTAACTCGGCAAAGCCTCGATAGTCAATCAATGGACAGTAGTTCTCCAATAAATGAGACATGCTTTAAATTGGTCTAACTCATCAGATAATAACTATTTAGCGACTCGTAAGGCGAATCTGCCTGAATGTGATCAGAAGATAAAGCAAGATAGATAGTCTAACAAGAAGAAACTTATAGCAGTTGTAGCCTTGTAGGCATGCAATTGAAAGTAAATAAAAATTGGATAATTGAGTTGTTTGTTTAGGTCTCACATCTCCCACCCAGACTACTAAAACAGAATAGATATATATATAGAACCAAATATCGTTTATTCTCATGCCAAACACCCATAATTGAAGCCATTGTCTATGAATTAAGTATATAGCATGAGTGCAATAAATAGAGCAAACACAGAATAATATTCATTAGCTAAGGGGTACTTTGGGTGAAAAAAGAGCAAACACAGGACGTAATAAATACCTTAGAGAAGATGAACATGTTGAGGTGTTGGAGAACCCAGTAAACACATTTGAGTAGGACTTGGTCAAATATGAAAAGTTGGCAATTGGAGGTAGAGCAGGCACCTGCTCACCTTTCTTCAAAAGGTCTTGCAAATCGAGTCTTTGCAGGGTCAAGACAACTCTCGATTCCTTCCACATGAAGGCAAGCAGACCACTTTGAATGACAAAAAGCGAGCCAGGCTTTGAGCCAGGATATCTAAAACCATATCCATGTGCAATACCTTCTCCCATAAAAGCATGCTTCACACTGACAGGATGTGAATCTGCATCACTATCCCAGGGAAATGGGTCCAGTGAAGGTTCATCAACATTCACAATGAACATTGCAGAACCATTTGGGTGCAGAACATAGTGGGTGCCTTCCAATATTTTCGTAGCAATGAGAAGATGTTTTCCCTCTGTCTCTTCATAAGAGAGCAAAAGAAAGAACAGAGCTTTACCAGGCTTGTCTTCGGTCGGCCTTCCAGGAGGCCAACCGAATGTTCCTCCCCATAAACCAGCATACTCTTGGTCCTCCCTCGGAACCCGCATGGGCAGCTTGTAAAGTGCAAACCGTGTATCATGCATATTAGGCCAAGCTCGATAAAATGATAACTTCATTGTAGAGGCATGTAACGTCAGCCCTATAGTATCCCCTGAATTTAGAAATTCATGAAGCTGAGCATGCCTATTCTCACTAGTAGAAGAATTGCATTTTGAAATAGCTCGACCACCATTGACAGAACTAGGTTTCCGAAGAATTTGCTTAATGCTAGCTCTGAAGTACCTGCCTAGACTTTTCCTATTGTTTCTGCGTGTCTGATCATCATCTCCATTCAGAGAATTAGAAGTACGAGAAGGGTCAAAGCTCTTTCTAATGTCACTGAGTTCCAACTGAATAGGACCAGCAGGCATTGCAATACTTGCCTTCGAATCCGTGCAATCTTGTTCGTTACCAAACTTAAACATCTGAAGAAGCTGTGATCTTCGCTGCAACATAAGCACCAAATCTTTTTGGAAATTCTCTGCATCCTCCCTCAATTGAGGAAATAGAGGCCCACTTAAAGAATCAGTAACCTTAAGAGAAATTTGGCTAGTAACAGTCTCAAGCAACTTTCTTCTGTCACCAAAATTTAACCGACTAAAAGGAATCACGGCCTCACTCTGTCCTGAGGATCTCAATAAACCATTATTTGATCTACAAACCTTTCTTGAAATCTCCTCATTGGAGTGATGAGCAAAGCTCTTACTATGGATTAGTTTACATCCATTCCTTTTTGCTTTAGGCTCAACCTCAAGCAAAAGCACGTTACAATTCTGCTCCACAGATTCCACCGAACCTGGATAAAAATAGTCGCATCCTTTCTCCCTACCATGAAGAAGAAATGTGGTGGAACCATCAAAAGCACCAATAATTTCAAACACCGGTGCCCAAAGAATGGGGCCATCCTCAATTCCCAAGGGACCAAGCTCTTGTGGAATTATTCGACACCCAACAACAGAAACAAAGCCAGGCATTACATAGACTACATTGCCTAGCTCAGGATTCTGGTGAACCCAAAGGCCAAGCAATGGCTTTACTCTAACAAGGAATCGGCAAAGTGCCTTGTAAGATTCGACACCTTCCCTCCACTCCACGAGGTCCCTCGTAGGTACAATTGCAACTAAATCGCATTGAGTGAGCCAAATCTTTTCAGAGGCAACAAGTGCACATAAACTTTTACAACATATACCGATATTACATATGCCCTTCGGTGAAAGGGACCGAGATATAATAGCAAACACATCATCAGGTAAAGCAAGAAACAAGCTAGAACCACAAGTTTCTAGCACCATTGCAACGTCTCAGCTATTTGTTCTTTGGAGTTATCAAGATTTCTTTTCTACCCCACAAATGGAGCTACAAATCAATAATATTCATGCAAAAACAACAATTCTGAATCTACAAATAAATAACCCAAAAAAAGGTCAGAATACAGATAGAGCGTGTTACCCAAAACACCAACCAAATTCTCCCTGCTTCGAATCAGGCCTTGAACAGAAATGGGGTTTTAATTTCCCACTTATTCTAAAGCTGGAGAAGAAAATCAAAGTGGGTTTTCATTAAAACTACACAAAACAAAAAGAAGAAGAGAAGCTCCCCTTACCCTTTGCATCTACAACTGAAGAAACATAAGAAAGAAAAACAACGATTAGTTAACCAAGAAAAACATAGCTTGGTTAACCAAAGTTTATAGATTTATGAAGTTTAGAAGAAAGTATACCATTAAAGCAGCTTTGGTACTTGCTTTCTCTCTTTCTTTTTGGTTTATTTTTCAGATTGGGGAGACAATTGTGGATGGGTCAGGTAGCTCAGCGTTCAATCGAGATAAGTAAATTTTTTTGAATTATTCATATTTTATTAAATTTAATTGTAAATATTTATAATATTATAATATTATTTAATTCTAATTTAGGTGACTTTTTATAACTATGTATATAATACAAATATATCTCTTCATATTTTTTTTTCGCATGCGATATATATATATCATATAAAATTTAAGGACTCGACTTAAATTTAAAAATAAATCTACTAATTACTAAAATTTTCGAATTATTCGAGTTGCATTTCACAACTTCGATTTGAATTTGAAATTTTTTCGAGTTTAGTCGATTTTATGAAATTACAACTTGAAGTCAATTCGAGTCGAATCCAATCAAAAAAATTATTTTTTGAGTCGAGTTTTACTCACCGCTAGACAACGCCAACCAATGTTGAAAATTTGATTTCACAGTCCAATTGTGTCGACTTTGGATTGGAATGTAAAACATTGACTACTGACTCATTCATTGGACCATATTCTTGCTCTTCATAACAAGTACGGTGGTTTTGGGTTTGTCTAAAGAAAGACGGATTAATGTACGGTTAAAAAATAGTGTGACCGAAAATTTAATAAGATATTTAACAAAATCGTGTGAGCACTATCGAAAATGTTGATTAATAATAATGTTGTAGGTGGAATATATGAAGAAATATTAAAAAATTTGACTACCGACAAACTTTGCTTATCAGTAAGTATCGATACCTTGCATAGAAGTATATATATATATATATATAGTAATATATAAGAAAGTGAAGAAAACCAGTTCAATATATTTATAAGTATATGTATAAATGTATTGATACTTTAGTTATTTAAAAGAATTGCAATAAAAACGCCTATAAAGTATTGATAACTTACACACATGTATCGATATATGACAATATAACATGTTAAAATTTGACAATTCCGATTTTAAATTGACAAAAGAGGTAAAGAATTTGACAAAATTGGTTGGTAATTGACAAAATCGATTGAATTTGACAAAATCGGTTTCAATTTTGACAAAACCGGTAAACAACTATCAGAATTGTTGAAATTTGTATCGATTCGTTTATAAGTATATGTACCAAATTATCGGTGTTGTAGGAATTTAAAAGAATTGCAATAATAGCGGCTAAATAGTATCGATACCTTACACACATGTATCGATACATGACAATATAACAGGTTGAAATTTGACAAAATCGATTTCAATTTGACAAAACTGGTAAAGAGCTAATGGAATTGTTGACATTATCAATACTTTTATAAGTATGTGTACCAAAGTATCGGTACTGTAGGAATTGAAAAGAATTTAATAATAACGCCTATAAAGTATCTATACCTTAGAAACATGTATCTATACATGACAATATAACATGTTAAAATTTGACAAAACCAATTTTAATTTGACAAAACCGGTAAAGCGCTACTAGAATTGTTGAAAGTATCGATACTTTTATAAGTATATGTACCATAGTATCGGTACTTTAGGAATTGAAAAGAAATAAAAAAAAAAGAAAATGACTCGAAAGTATCGATACTTGGGGAACGATATCGATTAAAAATAAATAGGCATAAATACCAAGTATAGATATTGTCTATATAGATATCGATACTATTATTCCAATATGATTCTCAAACAATTTGCACGCAAAATATATCAATACACACATATAAAGTATTGATACTTATAATTTCCAAACCTATTACTTTAAATTAATAAGTAAATTTACAATGTAAAGGATAAAAGTCTACCGATTTAATGATAATAGGCATAAATTCCAAGTATCGATACTTTTTATATAGACATCGATACTTTTTATCTAAATAACCCCGATACTTTCAACACAAGTATCGATATTAAACCAATTAACCGGTTAGGTTAACAATATTTTACCGGTTACATTATTATTAACCTATAAACAAACTGGTACCAATGTTCAAGTAATAGGTTGCGCTTTGTTTTTATTCGGTAGGCGTGTTTTTTTATCTTATTCATTTAAAAAAGAATCGATCCTCCATACTTGTATCGAAATGTTGCTCCCCCAAAAGGCATATATCTCTTCCACTCCGACAAATACCACCGTTCACGAAAATTTCTTGCAACTATTACAATAAGATATGTAGGTAAATTTATATAGATTTTACCCTAAATTAGGATTTTAGTTATTTAGGGATTCAATTTTTTTTCTTAATGTACTTGTGTTTCATGTAACAACCTCTATATCCACTCCTAAAAATGACTTCAAAATGTCCGAGACGCAGTTCTTCTTAACCAAAACCTTCTTCTCAAGCAAGGTCATCTTCTTAACCAAGGTCTTCTTCTCAAGTAAGGTATTTTTGATACAAACAACTTTAGAACTGTCTGAACCGTCTTTCGGTTGGGCCCCGGAATTGGGCTTCGACTTGGATTAAATGAATTGGTTGATTTGGAGTCGCCACCGACCATTTAAAATGAATTTAGGTGGGTCGGACACCATCTTACATGATCTGCGTTGTACCAGAAATATATCGGGTTCGGGAGTCGGTTACGGTCAAGGAAGGATTAGCACCCTTGAACCGCCCTTTCGGTACCAATTAATTTACCGGTTATCTTTATTGCGAAAATTAAAAATTTAAATTAAAATTTAAAAACCCGATTCAAATTACTTACCTTTGATTGGTTAAAAGTATCCCTAAAAAAATCAAAAATATTAGATAAGAAACAATAAACAAATATTAAATAAATTAAAGAAAAAATAATAAAATAAAATTAAACAAATACCATCTTCATGAAGAATACGAATTGTGAGATTAAAAATGGATCGACTATTGTTGGTGTCTTGACAGTGCAAATGAAAAATTGGATGCCATTAGTGTTTGGGCCAACATTTGTCATTCTAACAACTCCGGGTCCAACGTGGGTCAACTTGAAGTTTTCATCTTTGAAGGTACACGTCCATATATAGTTCCATTTCCTTTATAACCAAAACCATGACACGATGGAAAGCAGAACTTTTATAACCAAAGCCCTTCTCCCTTGTTTGTTATTTTTGATTGTACAAGTGCCACCTTAGTACTGGCCCGAATATGACGAAGAACACGGGGATTAGTCTGGGTTGAATTAAGAGATGGAAGACGAAATGACCCAGAGAAGAAGCGCGATGAAGATGAAGACGAAACCGAGAGCTTTCGAGGAAGCTTAAGGGCATTGCACGTTGGCGATGGCGTTTGATTCTTTGACAGGGTTTTTGGACCTGAAAGCAACTACATTTGACAGGGTCACGAAAGAAGTCGCCATGGGAAATATCTGGAGCTTAATGGTGTTTGAATCAATGCCAAAGAGACTGGTAAGGATATGGGAACTGATTTTGGGGATTTAAATTTTGGGATCTGGATTTTGGGGTTTATTTACTGAGCTAGATGATGGCCATTTTACCGATCAATTTCCTTTGAATAGTAGAGAAAATCGAGAAGCTTTGTTTTCGAGTGATGAAGAGAGAAAGAAGCGTCATTTGGGATTGGATTTGGTCGATGACGATTGCATCGAACCCTCTCGTTTCCTTGTTCATCATTCTGCTTCCTTTTCTTTTTTCTGAAATGCTTCCCACTCCCCTTGGATGCATTCTCTTGAATTTAAAGTTCATTTGAATCAATAGGCAGGACCCCACTTGCATTTTTTGAGGAGAGAAGTGTAAGGTGGTGGTGTGGGGTTAATGGGATAGTGGGGGTTGTTACACATGGGGCCTGAAAAAAAAATTAAAAAAATATTATTATTAATAATATTAATAATAAATAAATAAATAAATATTTTTTAAAATCCGGACAAAAACGGGTGTCTACAGCTGCCCCTCTTTGCACATTTTTGTGTTAACAAGGATAGGGCAAAGACTAAAAAGACAACAAGTTTTTGTCCTGATCTCTCTGATGTGATTGGGCTTCCTAGAATTGGGCCTTTGTCTTCTCCTCGGTTTAAAGATTTCGGCTTAAAAATTCTTCCATAAAGTAGTTCATCGCTGTCATCGAGCTGAATGAAATCAAACTCGTCGGGTCTTTGGTTGGCAGATAGCCCTTCTCGACTTAAGCTATGCTGCAAATGATGTGCCTTGGAGCTGAGCGTAGTCAAACTCGAAGGTCTTTGGTTGGCAAATAGCCCTTCTTGCCTTGAGCTATGTTGCAAATGATGTACCTTGGAGCTGAGTGTAATCGAACTCGAAGGATTTTTTGGTTGGCAGATAACCCTTCTCGACATAAGTTATGCTGCAAATGATGTGCCGTTGAGCTGAGCGTAGTCGAACTCAAAGGTCTTGTGTTGGCAGACAACCCTTCTAGACTTAAGTTGTGCTGCAAATGATATGCCTTGGAGCTGAGCGTAGTCGAACTCGAAGGTCTTTGGTGACAGATAACCCTTCTAGCCTTGAGTTATGCTGTAAATGATGTGCCCTCAAAGCTGAGTGTAATCGAACTCGGGGGTCTTTGGCAGATAGCCTTCTCGAGTTAGATATCCTTCGTCGTGAAGTTGAAATCCAATCTAAAGATGGACGATGCTTGTGTGCACGATTCCCTTCGTCGT